TAAACGACAGAAGAAGCGATCTAAATGTGTATTTCCTGGTTATTCGACAAAGGCCACGCCCCTGATACATCTGTCTAAAATAATAGAATATCACCAGTTGTTCGTCTCACATCTTATTCGGTAACACCGGCAACACCATGCCTCCACTCACCTCACCCTCCGGATGCGGCGGCTGCCTCCGCATGAGCCAGAAGATCTCCGAGTTGGAAGGTAAAATATCCATGCTGTACCAAATACGAGACGACGAACAGATCCTGGACTCTTTACGGCCCGTCCACACGGTGGCGTGCGTTGACTCTTCAACGCTTCTGTCCATTCACTTTGAATGGGGTGACGTCACGCTTCGCCAAACTGCATTGTGGGAGCGTCGATACGCGTTGCTCGCGGTGCTCGCTGCAAAAGTTGAGCAACATTGAAACATTTTCAACTTTTGAAGCTTCGACGGAGGCGTCAGCCAATCAAATCCCGCTTATGCAAATCTGACAGTACAAGCGCTAGCCAATAAAACCGCGTGTATGCTGGGAGAGCCATACCGCAGGTCATTTCCTCATATTCCAAAAAATGGAGGATAAAATAATTATAGCGTTAGGGAATCACCCGGTCCTATACGACCAGTCCCTCTTTATCTACCGGGATACAAACCGGAGGAGCCAGGCATGGAGGGAGGTGGCAGAGACAGTGGTAGGTTTTCGCCTGTTTGGGGAGTTTATATCCAGTTTACTTCGGGCTTTTTTGCTTTGTATGTCGGGGGCGGGAGATTCATGTGATTGGTTGTTGGTCGCGTTGCTCGCGAGAAATCCCCAAGCTTCACACACGCCCACCGCCAAGCTTCAACGCACGCCGCCGTGTGGACGGGCCGTTAGTTACCATGGGCCCCGCTGCCACAACTGCGTGTGAACTAGACTCCACTGTCCCATGGATGGATGTCGCAGCCCGAGCAGACGACTGGTCCCAGCTGGTAGCTAAACCCAAGGCCCCGGTTAGCTCTACTCCGAGCCAGAAGGAGCCATGGACGGATGTCCGCCGGGACACACACCGTGGGACACACCGTGGGAAGCTCATCCGCCGTCCCACTCCCCCTCGTGCACTGCAGCTGACCAACGGACACTCCATCCTGGACGAAGAGGACTCAACCCACGTCGCCGAGGTCCGGTGTTCCCCTGCCGTCGCCGCCTCCACTCTGCATGGCTACGTCCAGACCTTCGGTACACCATGCTGACTGCCACTCTCTGCGGCACACCACCTTCTCACGTCCAGGCCATGCAGTTCATCCCTAGTCCCGCTGCAACAGACACCCAGGTCCAGACCTCCGAGCCGGTGGGAGCCTGCTCCCACAGGCACGCCCCCTCTCCACAACCCGGCTGCAAACCCTTCAGTGCCCGTCCGGCATCACCTGACTCTGCACGGACCCCGGGGCCGCCTCCTTCTTCACTGGTCATAGGTGACTCCATAGTCCGGAATATTAGGTCAAAGACTGCTGCAACATACTGCTTCCCTGGTGCCAGGGTTTTGGACCTGGTTGAACAGATCCTGTGTCTTCTGATGAAGCATCCTCACGCCAGAAACTTTATTATCCACGTAGGCACAAACGACATGGCATGCCAACAATCAGAGGTACTTAAGCAGGATTGTACCACTCTCTTTAAAATGCTTAAGAAGTGCAACAAGTCTGTTTTTATCTCAGGGCCGATCCCCTCTCTCCTTCGAGGCGTGGGGCGTTTTAGCAGGCTGCTCAGCCTGAACACATGGCTGCAGTCGGCTTGCTCCACGAACAAATTGATAATTATTGACAATTTTAATCTTTTCTGGGAGCGTTAGAGCCAATAGAATCGAGGGGAAGTTCCTAAAATCCATCTAACAAATTAAACTAAATGAAAATATCATGCTGTAGCATGCAGTAGCATCTTGCTACGAGGGATGCTACTAGAAAGAAGAATATGGAAACTTCTTCCATGACATAGATCAACATCAACATGTTAAATCAACAAATAGCTCCAACAATAATCACCGGACCATTGTGTGTCTGATTCCTTCCAGTCCACTTGATTATGTGTGTGATGTGTGTGTTCATGTTGGGTTGCCACTAACAGGCATGTGAGTTTCTCACGTCTCAGTGTTCTGCATTTCTCTACAAACAGAAGCAACCTGACCGCAGAGAGAGCAGAGAAGAAACAAACCAAGAAGAAAGATATGACATTTTCCATTCTCTCTGATAATTAATACTGTGCCCTTCATGTTGTTCAGTTAAACTGCCTCATGGGTTCACAGGTTAATAATGCCTTCCTGTTCCTTCACTACACCGGCAGACTGTGTGACGTCCTCAGTGCTCAGAGAGATTAACTGTTTTTCTCTTCTTAATTTTAATTTTCTTTTCTGGTGTTAGTGGAATATCGGCAGCCAAACAAGTTAAAGCCATAGATTATTTTGTTTAAGAAAAGTTTATTTTTGACAACAATAATAGTGTAGTGGGTGGTACTGGGGTTTGGCTCATCATGCATATTAATAATCTAACGAGGAAGTAAATCTAGTCTCTTAACAGCCTGATATCCGTCTTCTGCTCATTGGTGACAGAGGAGAGGCATCTATCAACACATGGTTCCTCCTTCACTGTGAGTAGAAACAGTTTATTGATGTAATGATTCTGTATACCTCCTGTGAACATTATTTAATCTGACATGTTTTATAGTCTCAGAGATGAGAGGAGCAGCTATGAGTCTAACTGCAGCAGCGAGTGGATTAGTTGTCTTCCTGCTCTCTGTGTCAGGTACTGTACATCTACACTTACATTCATCACATGAACAGAGGGGATTCTGGGAAAATGTGGGACTTGTAAAATCAGGTCACATGTGGGAATAAGTGGGATGGATTTGTGTAAAAGGCAAACCTAGCAGAAACATTTTAAATGTATTTGTGTAGAATTGTAGAAACTCAAAGACGTTACTAGTTTTTTTGATGGATATTCTCAAGATCTTGTCGTGCGTTGCCACTGTCCTTTGCTCCAATCACCTGCATACAACATCAGTTTGCTTATCACTTTTACAAGCGTTAAAATGAGAATATAGTGTATGCATAACTGTTCCATCCTCTCTCTCTCTGAAAACATTTTGCTTTGTTTTTTTCTTAAGATGACTTCAAGAATCTCCAGCTCTGTTTTTATTAAGTTTAAGTGATTTAGAGAGATATTCTTATTCTAAGTCATAACATATTGACTCAACTCTTATCGATCATACCTCTGCACCAAACTCTTCTAGTTCCTTCTCTACTCTCTGACCTCAGTGTTATATTCCCACGCTCTGAGTTAAAAGCAGTCTTCTTCTTTTTCTCATCAGACGGAAGCTGCTCACACCTCAGTGTTCTGCATTTATTGTTATTGTTCACACTTACCTCAGCAGCAACCTGACCACAGAGCGAACAGAGAGGGAACTGTTCAGAGAATCACACACTTTTCTAATTAATATGATCGCTAATCATTCACTGTTCATTTATATGAAGGCATTTTCCAATCTTGTGTCAAACTGAACATACCCTTTTTGCGTAGACTTCTGTTCTGCCTGGTTTGATTAAGAAACTACAAAGTCAAATAGTATCATTGGTTATAAAGTGCCTAAGAAGGAATTCACGTGTGTTGTTCTGCTCTATCCCAGTAACGTTTGTAAAACGTTTATTTTTACATTCTTTGTTGAAAGTATTGATCAGGCAATTTCTCAACAATTTATAGATTAACTTTGATTCTAGTTTCTGATGTGCTCTGTGTTACAGTGGTTCAGGGTCAGTATGGCTGGGGAGTGACTTACTCTTCTACTAAGATCTGTGCAGCGAAAGGATCAACAGTGGAGATAAGATGCAGCTTAACATACCCATCTAAATGGAAAGGAAGTGTTAACACAGTGGAGAAAACATGCTGGTTCACTAAATGGAAAGATCTTAAACCTGTAGATCTGACCACAGTCTCAGAGTATTCAGGTCGTGTAGAGGATCTCTGTGAAAACAACATCTGCACTCTGAGAATCAGAAACCTGAGAGAGAGAGACTCAGCTGAGTACAAGTTCAGCATCAAAACAAGCCAAAAAACTACACACTGGGGTTATCCTGGAACCACTCTGTCTGTTAGAGGTAACATTTACACTGGGTTTATAACAATAACTGAGTTATAACAATTCATTTCTAAATTTCAACTTCTTGCAAATAGTTTGAATGTTTTGATTTATATTTATGTATGAATATAATGACAGTTTTGTTAATTCTAGCTTTATTCAGATCTCCAGGTGCAGGTGAACAGATCAGGATCGTCTACTCGCCTTCAGTGTCTCAGCAGTTGTTCACCTGGTGATACTTCTTACATCTGGTTTAAGAATGGACAGGAAGTGAAGGAAGAGACATCTTCTTATGCAGACTTCAGTTATGATCCTGCAGCCAATTATTCCTGTGCTTTGAAGGGATATGAGGACGTCCCCTCTCCTTCAGTGTGTGAGTTTACTCAAAGTCTTCCACTAACATAATCATTTTAACATACAGTATAACATATATCATCATTGCACTCATTTATCTATTCACCCACCAGAGGTCGCCAGCAGACATGGCAGTGTCCAAAGACACTGAACCAGGGCTCTAGGTTTTCTGTTTGATTTTAAAATAGGTCAAATATAATCTTGCTACGAGGGATGCTACTAGAAAGAAGAATAAACGAGAATTATCAAGGAAACTTCTTCCATGACATAAAGATTAACACTTTCCCTCAAAGTTTTTTAGATTTCTGATAAAGGATGGAATCAAGTTAACCACCCACTCTGTGTTTTATTAAACTATTATTCATTAAAATATCTTCCACCGTGGAATTAAATGTGAAATGTGTTCATGTTATCTCCTCCAGATGCTCCAAGCTTTAAAATGTTTTGCATTGTGTTTGTGAAAAACGTTTCCTGCTTTGTGTCTCTGGACATTTGCAAGTTGCTATTATTTCTACCCTTCCATGTTAATAACTTTAAATACTTATCTTCCAGATGCTCCAAAGCCTCCCTCTGTGTCAGTGAGTCCCTCTGCTGAGATAGAGGAGGGCAGTTCAGTGACTCTGACCTGTAGCAGTGATGCTAACCCAGCAGCTAACTACATCTGGTACAAGGAGAATGAAGACTCTCCAAAAGCTTCAGGACAGATCTTCACCATCACTGACTTCAGAGCTGAACACAGTGGGAGTTATTCCTGTGGAGCCCAGAACAAGTTAGGACGTAGTAACTCCACCTTACATCTGACTGTTGTGGCAGGTAAGCTCTCTACATTCATATACTACCAGAAACATATAAGCTTGTTTGTTTCAGTCACATCATCTGCATTGGTAGATTTTCAATGTTATTCTTGAATCGGGGATAGGGTTCATAAAGTGTTCTTTAGATTCAAAAATAAAAGTAAAGCCTTTATATTTTTGTAAAGTATTTACCATTTATTGGGACATTAGATTGCATTTCTACTGTTTGGGGATGATATTGTCCTTTTCAATAGACCTTGACCATGAGTGTGTGTACAACTGATGACACTTTAGTAATGCAGCTCTACTTGTTTTGGGATCCATTGTTCAAGAACATGCTTTTATTCATAATTTCTCAAACTTTTTTGCATCTCATTTGAAATATTCTTTACATATTTTCATTCATTTTGATCGAAAATGTAGAAACTGGACCCCGATCAAACGTTATTATGAACAATGGTGGCTGACCCATAGGGGGCGATAGGGTGCCGCCCTCCCTAAACCACACACAAAAACATTAATATTAATAATGATAATGCTAATAATAATACTGATTGATTATATATATTGTCAATATTTGTGTGTTTAAAATATGGAATGCACCACATTGATTTTAAGAATAAGAATAATTATTATTAGTTTGTTAAATCCTCAGCTTGTTGTATTACTGTTGATTAAACCCAGTGGTGGCGCCAGAGACTTTCTTTGGGGCGGTGCTGTGCGGTAGCTTGACGTTTCATAGAGGGTGCTCAAACATTTAGGGTTTCCCATTAATGTACCGGGCGCTACAGTGGAATACGCACATACAGTGTATCCGCGACTCTTACAATGAAGGCTCGATAATCAGCTCACGGCATATAGGTGTAAGCAGGGGTAAAGTGCTATTTTTTTTACAAGTGGGGGGTGGACCTAACATCCTTTAGGGAAGATTTCTTTTTAAATATTGAAGTTAAAAGCATCAATCTGGTGCACTTTGAGAGCAACATTAAGAGATCTATGGATACATCTCTCAACACCATATAAAACAGAACTGTAAACAGATTTACTTTTTCTTTATGGATATTTTACAAATCACTCCCCTTTTTATTCTTGTTTTACTGCCATATAGTATTTCATAACTGTTTTTCATTTATTCTCTTATTTTTTTAGAACTATAATGATCATATGAAGGTGTGCCTCAGAAATAATTGTTTACATAAATGGTGACCAAACCATTTGAGACCCACTGAGATAACTTGGACTAAAGTTAACTATCTAAACACTCAGAGAGTCCTTTAGCTCACCTGAGTCTCTCAGTCTGACAGGAGAGGACTTTCCCTTCACCTTGTTGTGGAAACAGCTCCTTATATCCGTTAGTGCAGCGAGCTAACCAGATGTATTGATGAATCGTGATCTTCTCGCTCCCAGGAAAGAAACTTAAAATAATGAGACTAATGGAGTCTCTGAAAAGGTTCAAATTGGTACTTTAATTAAGTAACGTGGTTAAAGAACAAGCATAAGGTAAGGAAGAGACAAAAGCCGGTGTTGTCCCTCGGGAGGCTGCAGCGAAGTTAAGAGGGCGTGTTGTCCTTTCCGATCTCCTTTATACTTTTCTCGTTCTCTCGCGCTGTGCAGATATGGGGACCGCCCTCGTCTGCAATGTTCGACATCGCGTGAAACAGAGGACTTCGACATTCTGTATTCCCTGCCTACTTCCTTAAGCCTTTTCTCCTCCTTATCTCTTTCATGACTTTCTATTTAATACCTTATAAACAGCTGTAATAGTTAGTTTAGAAATCCTAGAAACACCTTTACGGCACAGTTCTCATTTACGGTAACTCCCTCTGACGTCATAGCTACTCACGTATGTGAAAACACTTTACGATCAACTGTACCTTCATTTAATATTCAGCAGTAATAATATCTCGACGTCTATAGATGTAGTGTTAAAGTCCGTAGGTTTTGGTGTGCAACACTCCATGTCATTTTCACTTTACATTCAGAAAACGTATTATTATTAACCACATGCTAACTGCTAACTACTAACCGGATATGAAGGATTTTCAGAATAAAAGCTTGGCATTGAGATTTTCTGAGAACTTCCGGGTTTTTTCACAATAAAACAGCTTTTAAACTGACGATGTTTTAGACTAAATTATGCTATTAAACATTGATTTTAATTTCTAACAGATGCTAAGTAACAACAATAATCCCTGGCACCGGTGCGCTCTCTCTCTCTCTCTCGCTCAATCACACTAAATGCGCATGTGCCGCACACACACAGAGCCGAGCTTGAATGAAACACAGAGACCCAGAAGTACTTACTTCAAATCAATTATTTTTCAAATTATGAATTTCACACGTAAAAAAAAAAAAAGACATACATTTCTTGGGGGTGCTTAGGGGGTGCTATGGCTATCCTAGGGGGAGCTGCAGCACCCTATAGCGCTCCCCTGGCGCCGCCTGATTATACCATTGTTCTGTAATATATATATATATATATATATATATATGTATAAATATATATATATATATATATATATATATATATATATATATATATATACATATATGTATGCAAGTATTGCTAATGCCATTGTTTTTGTAGTCTTTGTATAGTCCTCAGTCTCAAATGCTTAAATTGTTTATGGATGCATTCAAATTTAAGACAGTTTTTTTTTGCATTAAGTCATACTGGGATGTTTGCTGAAACGTGTATGTGGCACAGCCCTAGCTAGAAACAATTCCACCAGCCGCCACTGATTATGAATGTAATAGCAATTGACCATTTGCAGCAGTTAACAATTAAATTGAAAATAGGAGTATACAATATAAATATGGTGTTTATTTACATTATTATTCAAGTTTACCTGGAACAGTTTCATTACTTTATACTATATACAGTATATATTTGTAAAAATCCCATGTGCCACCCGCAGTACTCCACAGTACCCCTAGGAGTACTTGCTGTATTAAATGTCTGTTCTCTGTTGATCACTGTTTCTCAGGATCATGGAAGCTACCAGCTGCTGTAACAATCCCTGTTGTTCTCCTGGCTGTCATTTCTCTCTCTGTCTTCCTGTGGATCAGGTGAGCAGATCTGATCATCTTAATCATTGTTTGTTAAATCATTAAAAGTCTGTTTGTCTGGTGTTAAACATGTTATCTTCTTTTTCTTTATAAACTCTCCTAACCAGAAGAAAGAGGGCTTCCAGAGACTCGTCTGAGCCTGAAGAGAGAGCGGACAACAGGGAAGAGGTGAGAATAGATGCTTACATAATTAATCTAGTTCAAAAGAAAACATATTACACTCAATTTATAATGATGGTGGTCTTTAAGTGCTTATAGAACATTGATCTGACATAGAAGGACATCTTGCTGCTCTTTTTACATCCTTCTATAACAAATTAATTTCTATCACAATCTCTTTGGATTCTCCTCTTAGACATGAGTACATTTAAAGTACATCCAGAAGTTTTCCTATCTTTGATCCTTTAATCTTTCTGTCATAAAGCATCAAGTTGATAAAGCAGGGATATTTTCCCATCATTACCACAGCTGCTGTTGCTTTGGCCTTTTCTGTCCTGGGTCCATTCCTCTGTAAATGAAATACTTATTAATGTGAAAATGTGTAACTGAAAGTGTTTTCCTCCCTGCAGTGTGTACCTGATCAGCCGGAGCAGCAGGAGGACCTTCAGTATGCCAGCGTTCACTTCTCCAACAACCGGGCAGACCCTCTTTACTCCAACATGAGAGCAGCTCGGCCCCTCAGACACACGGAGCAACAGGAAGTCTCGGAGTACGCTGCCATCAAGTTCAGCAGTGCTGGCCCGAGGTGAGCAGCTCCTCACACAGGAACATTATTCATATTTAATTCAATTCCTTTTGCATTATTATTACCACTAAGAAATACATCATTTATCTCTCAGGACCAGAGGTCAGGACCCTGAAGAGGATCCCGCTGCATTGTACAGCACGGTCAACAAATCCAGATAAACACAGCAGGCGATGCATTTGAAGGATGATACTTCAGTTTTTTTACAATTACATTTCTATTTACACAGGGTAATGTGGATTTTTTAAATACATTTCTCAGGGTGGACCTCTCGAAGAATGAGGCAATGAGTTTGGGTTTTCAGCCTAGTTTTTATTAATCTGAATGGCTCAAATGTAAAGATTTTGTTAAGTATTTGATTTTTATAGATTTAAAAAAAAAAAATAGATATAGGATGTGCTTCACCAAGATTATACATTCAACAGTCTTTATCTTATTTTATGTTTTACTTGGAGTGGGTCACCAGTATTGAACATTGAATATACAGTCTTTTCTATTTACATGAGTGTTTTAAACACATATTATAGTATCAGTATATTTCTAATTATGCATAGCTATTTTCTTTCAGATAAAGAATACAAAAATAAAACTCACTGCAGTACTCCAAAGTACCCCTAGGGGCAGGCAGTTCACGACTTAATACATTGAATTGTAAATATGAAAAAGTAACTTCAGCCACAACAAGGGCTGTGGTCCAACTGGCTTCCCACTGCCAGCTGTCTTTGTTGGAAAGCTGTAGATATGAAATTAGTTATAAAAGACATTAGTTATACTTTACTGTTGAGAATTTTCATTGTTTTTAAAGTACATTTCTCTCCTTTTTCATACAATATATCTTCATCATGTTCTTCTTCTTGTCCTGACTGAAATATCCTAACAAGAATTTGATATATTATCATCATAAAATGGTGTTCATATACATTCATCATTTTACAGATGTATTTTGAGTGTCTTCTTGTTGTGACTTGCAACTTTTGGATGGACTGTCTTTACATTTGGTTCAAATAGTGGCGCTCCAATGATAACTCTTTATTATTTGAAGGATGACCTTTCGTTTGACTACTATTGGATTGAGTGACATGCATCTCCCACAGGATAACATTATATTGTTCAACCTGAATGTTAATATATGCATTAAGTTTTTTTAATCTATTTTAATATTCAAATTAATATTCATGAATTAAGTACAAATATACATGTTTGCTATTGAAAAGCACATTGGGATATTACAGATATAAGTTAGCTGATGTAGCTGCAGTTTCACACTGCTGCCACTAGGGTTTAGTAAAGAGACGTATTTCATTCATCGCAAACTATTTCCAAGAGCTTGTCAACTATAATTCTCTTTTGTGTTTTTACCGACTTTGTTTTGTATATCATTTGTTTTCCTTTTTCATGTTCTGTTTTGTATTGATTTACTTTAATAAAAAGGGTGAAATTGCATTCAAACTAATGTCATAAGCCGTGAATAATGTCCATAATAATGCTATAAATTAACCTATGATTTCAAAAAAGAAGAATTGTATGTGTTTGCAAAAGTTAAACCCATTGAAATAGTGTTTGTCAAGAAACATTAGAACATGAACACAGTAGAGATGGGCGAGTCCTGATTCATCCGGATCATTAACCCGGATCCTAGAAATGAGCTGGTCGTGACGAGTCTCCCCTCTCCATTAACCCGAGTCCTTGAGTCCCACACTTGGTGTGACGTACAAATTAAAACTATAAATTGCGTCACTCGCTACTCTCTTTATAACATGTAAAATCACATTACAACGTACCCCAAGTCCATCTACCTACCCTTTAGCAAGTATACAGGATAGCTGCCAGAAGTTATCGTTTGGCTCAGGGGAGGGGACGCGGATCAGTGAAACTTCCTGCAGACTCGTGGGGACTCAGAGGAGCCGACGGCTCCAACAGCAGACTCGCAGATTCGCAGATTCGCAGATTCGCAAATCCTGACTCGCTGCAACAAACAGCGGATCAGACTCGTGCGGACTCGGAGCCGTAACCATATAGCAGCAGATCCAGAGATCCAGCAGACTCGTCCGTCATGCACGAGTCCACACAGCAGACTCGGATTCGCAAATCCTGACTCGCTGCAACACACAGCGGATCAGACTCGTGCGGACTCTGAGCCGTAACCATATAGCAGCAGATCCAGAGATCCAGCAGACTCGTCCGTCATGCACGAGTCCACAGCAGACTCGGATTCGCAAATCCTGACTCACTATGTGTGCAACACACAGCAGTGCGGACTCGCAGACTCAGATTTGCCAAATCGCAAAATAACCCTTTTTTTTGTGATCAACATTTTTTATTAAAGCAAAATACACTGTGTAGCGGAGGTTAATATAACGTTAGTTTAATAGATAGATAGATAGATAGTACTTTATTGATCCCAAATTGGGAAATTGTTGTTGTTACAGCAGCATAAGGCATTTTACAATAAAACAAAACTACAAAATATGCAAGAATAGAAATAAAAATAAAATAAAATATAAAATATACATGTCGAAATAGAAAATATACATGCAGATATTATATATATATATATAGATACAAATATATATATGTATATTCAAAATATATGGAATAATAATATGCTCGTGAAATGCAACAACTTTTCGGTTTCACCGATAGGATTTCTACGGTCTTGGTCATGCTGACTCATATGACTCAAATGACTCGTATGATCCGGATCTCTTCAATGACTGACTCAGAAGACCCTGAGTCCGTAAAAGGATCCGGATTTGCCATCTCTAGAACACAGGAAAGACAGCCTGTCACACTGAGTGAAGTGTGTGAGTGAAGTGTGTGAGTGAGTGAGTGTGTGAAGTTTGCGAGTGAGGGAAGTGTGTTATGGTTCACAGGTTCCTTCACTACACCTGCAGACTGTGTGACGTCCTCAGTGCTCATAGAGATGAACTGTTATTCTCTTCTTCATCTGAATGCTATTCTCTGGATTCAGTGGTATAGGAAGAACCTCTCTTTAAGTTTGTATTTCGTTAAACAACATTTCTTTCCGGTGCAGTAAGTGTTACTGGGGTTTGGCTCATCATGCATATTAATCGTCTAAAGAGGAAGTAAATATAGTCTCTTAACAGCCTGATATCCGTCTTCTGCTCATTGGTAACAGAGGAAAGGCATCTTTCAACACATGGTTCATGTGTTTCTCCTGAGTCTGTGGACGAGGTACAACAATATAAATTCATCAGTTTAAACATCCTTCTTACGTGTTTTAGTTTACTGTTATGACATAAAATCTGTATTTGTTGTTGCCCTTAATCCAGGAAGAAGAAAGCTCTGCGCTCCACCACTGAAGCACATGAACCTGAAGAGATCGAGGTGAGAGAGAGCGGACCTATTGACAACATTTCCCCTTCGTCAAAGCTATACTGTGGCTCATAAATGCAATGTGAAGAGAACTTGTGTTTAAAGACAACTTCCTGAGTTGAAACCAGGAATAAATTTAGCCAAGAAATAATTAGCATCAACTTTAAAATATGAAACATGTTTTATAAAATGTTAAAGTATATGCAGGTTTCATGAATGAGGGTCTAATTGTGTCTTCTCTCTCTTCATCAGTTGGACTCTGTTCCTGAGTATGAGAACGTCTCACACACTGCAGCACAGACAGAAGACACAGAGGAGCAGGAAGACCTGGTGTGAAGTCCAGTCAGGTTAGAGCCTCCTGCATCAGATCAAACAGGCCCACTCCACATTTAGAGTCACAGTTCCAGCTGTAACTTTACACAAAGTTTCTGTGATTTTCTTCAGACGCTCACCTGATGGAAACAAAGAAGAAGGACGTTGAAATGTCCCTGAGGAGAGCGAGGCTGTGCAGGATGTGTGCAAAGTGGATATATTCACGTTCAACTCTTAAAGCTTTAATAGTCAGTTTTCAGTAGCAGCAGCTTGTAGGTTTAGAAGAATGAGCTGCTGGCAGCTTGAAGTGAATCATGTCGAGGTGTCAAACATGATTTATCGTTAAGACCAGCCGATGGTCAGGTGCTCTATATTACTGCTTCAACTATGTGTACATGCTTATTTGTTATATGCAGAGTTGTTGATATTACAAAAGTCTCGTCAAATTGTTTTATTTAAATTCCACATAATAAATAACTTTGAAAAATCCTCATCAGTGTCTTGGTTAATAACTATCCTGCTGACAGAGACAATGAAGTCTATTTAAAACAGAGAGAGCCTAAACACATCACATTTCACTCCATGTACAGTTTAGATGTTCACTCCATGAAACATAAGCTCACTAGAAGACCTTGTTAGATGTTACTGTGTAAGATTCAAATCAGAATAAATCAACAGCCAGCTCTACAACAAGTGAAGGACCATCGGACGAGTGTTTGGAAAAGATCACGTTCTAAAATCTCTAGATTTCCGATTTCTGTTTCACTTTTCATTAATTTGCGGTATATAATGTTTAATTATTAGCTAGCAATACAAAGAAAAATCAAAGTAGTGTTGCTTTTGTATATCTCCCATATATGTCATTATTTTCTTTTTTTTATTACTGCCGAATTTTACTCCATATTTTATTCCTTTTTATTCCATTCTATTTCTATGTAAATACTGAATTTTTTTTTACTATATTTTTGATTATTTCTAATATTTGTTCATGTTATTTTTTATGTATGCACCATGACATCAAGTCAAGTTCCTCGTACGTGTAAACCTACCTGGTAATAAACCTGATTCTGATTCTGATGTGTCACTAGAAGGAAAGGAGCCACAGTGTTCATAATGATCTGGGATGTTTCTGATATGAAGATCCACAGACAGAGTTTTCAACTGAGAATCAATTTAAATTATTTGCCTTTTTGTCAAAACTTGTGGAAAATGCTTTTAGTCATATTTTATATATTTGTTTAGTCCACCCTTCCTTTCCCTTCCATCACCCCAACCCTCTATCCCTCAATCGTTCATCCCCATATCCATTCATCCTTTCATCCCTCCCTGAACCCTTGATCCCTAAATCCCTTCATCCCTCCTTCCCTTGACCATTCATTCCTTAATTGTCCGTTCCTTCACTTTATTCCTGCACCATACATCTTCTCTTTCTGTCTCCCTTCATCTATTTCTAGTTAATCTGGTGTTAACTTTCATCAAGTTCTATGTACTTTCTGGGCGCTTCTTTATTCAGACCAGACAGAAAAAGACCTGAGACTAAGTTCCCATACACTAATACCCCTTTCACACCGGCGCTTTTCCAGCTCCTGCTGGGAGCTAGAGCCTGAAAAGCGCTGGTTTTTCCTGTTCACACCGCAGCGGCGGCGCGTCATAGCTCCGGAATGCGGTTCACTTCCAGCTCCAAAAAATTGTCGGTCCAGAGGCAAGAGCTTCGGAGCTATGACGCGGCGTCGCTTACGTCTCTTACGTCGAGGCGTGCAGGAAACCTTACTTTGACCATCCGTTCGCTGTTATTGATCATTGTGGAGATACATGGGCTATACAGGTTGTCATGTCCGACTATCAGAAGTAGAATCATAATGAAAAATACGCCGGTAAAATGTGCCTATAGAAAACGGCTTAGCAAGTAGTCAGTTTAGCTTCGGTTGCTATGCTAACATCACCCATGTTATACCAGAGAAACTTTCATAACAGCGTTTTGATGCCAAACAGCGTCAATTCAGACTGACACACATTCACTTAAGGGGAACTGGGGATATGTATCAGCTGCTTGTGTGACAGTCAGACAGTGAATACTTTAGAGCCGTGTGAGCTAACCCGGAGCTAACGGGACAATAAACTCCCGTGGAAGAGCAGCCACTGCAGCGGTCGGTAAATGCCGCTGAAACACATTAATAAACAATGAACCACGGCACTCTGGAGAAAAGTATAAGGTTGGAGAAGTCGTTATTTAATTTAATCTGGCTTCGTATGATTAAAAGCAACACGACCCGATGCAGTCACCGGCCCGTTGTTGTTGTGGGAGAAAAGGGAAACGGGAGCTGAACCAGAAAAGCTCTCGCGAGGAGCTAGAAAGTGAAAAGCGCCGGTGTGAAAGCCGCATGAGAGACCAAGCACTCTCCTGGCTGGCTCTCCATTTAATGTCGGAGATGTTTAAATCCATGTTTGGTCCATAATATGAACACGGACCTCCTCACCAACATTTCCATATTTACCGTCTTCACAGATTCAAAAAAGTGTCCTGGAAACGGAGTTCAGAGTTTGATGCATAGAAGTTTGGAAGTGTTGAAGGTCCTGCCACTCCTTTTCATCTACTAAACATGGTCAGTACCCCTGTAACTTGACCACAAGTGCAGTCAAGTTGGAGTCATATGTGTCTCATTGGTAGCCAAAGATAAGGTGAGAATATAGTATAGAATATACAGAGCACTTCTATAAGGAAAGTTCACTAAACCCACCACTCCTATATCCTGCCTGGATTACAGTTGGTCCTCCAGACCAGCCTTACCCCTTCCTCTTACATTTCCTCAGTGCTCAATGAACAAATAAACCTGTAATAAAAGTTTAACTGACATATTGTTGAGGAGTGGAAAATGCTAAAGAAAAATGTCCAATTTGGAAAAGCTTGTGCAACGCCCTGATTATGAGTCGTTATTCCAGTAAAACACGTTTTAAAGAGTTGCTTTCCAATATGTCAAAGATGTTGGTCCTCGGTGTGAAGTGTAAGTCTACTATACAGTAAATTACCTCTAATGCTAAAAGACTAAAATGGCAATAGGTTTCACTCATTTGATCTTTAAAAACTAAATATGCATTTACATTTGTCAAAACAATCACTGATGGATGTTAGAATGTGTCTCAGGGTGCTGATTCAGTATCTGATGTTTCACTGTCCTCTAGTGGAGGATCTTAAGTGAGACAGATTCAGGCTTCATCACTCAGAGAGCTCCCTCCACCGTCTGCTTTAAAGGATCAGTTCACCCAAACTAAAACACTTATTTCCCCCTTTGTGACGGTCTGTCTGTTTTCCTGTTTCATTTTCAAAAGTGTTCACCCCCTGTCTTATGTCTGTGTCTGCTTCCTGTCTCTGTGTTTTCCCTCCTTTTTGATTTTTGATTCTGTTCACCGGGTACCATTGTGTTTTTCCTGCTCTGCCTAGCTCTGTCTTGTTCTTTGATTCGTTATGCATGTATTTAAGTTCTGTTTGTTTTGTGGGTTCTTTGAGATTACTAAGGAGTGATTTCTGGTTTGTACGCTGTATATCAAGACGACCTTCAATAAAGGTCCTTTTCTGTTTCGAGACCTTCTCTGCCTCTGCCTTACCCTCGGGTCATCCACCTCCCTGAGTCAGTAGTATGTAAGCAGTCAGTAGTATATAAGCAGTCAGTAGTGTATAAGTAGTCAGTAGTATGTAAGCAGTCAGTAGTATATAAGCAGTCAGTAGTATGTAAGCAGTCAGTTGTATATAAGCAGTCAGTCGTGCAGGGGTACTCAAATACAAATCTTAAAGGTCCAAAAAAATGTTTTCAATAAGACAAAGGTCCATTTATTACGGTCATTCAAACTTTTAAACAATTGCAACAAGATTCTTAACACGAGGTTGCAAAAACAAAAATAATCTGTATGCAGCAGTTTTCATTGTTATTGTGTCTGTGCTTGATCCCTCAGAGTCGCAGTGTGAGCTGCACAGTTATGAATAAAGGCAGCTGCACCCTCTTTCATTCAGCATTCCCATTATTGCTTTATAAATGTCTTGCCCCCTTGTGTGTCCACTGAGGTTCGTCAGGCCCAACACATCTTCAACAAACTCCCCCTTTGCCTCATCATAAAAACTCACAAACACCAGCAACTGAGCATTGTCAGTGGTGTCAGTGGACTCATCCACAGCTAAGGAAATGCACTGTGCATTTTTTATTCCATCACAAAGCTGATTCATCAAATCACCAGCCAGTATTTATGTTCTTCTGGTTGCTGTGGAATCTGAGAGGGGGATTTGCTTGATTTGACCTGTTATTTCCTCTTTTTGTTTGCCTTCAAACATGGTCTCCATCACTTCAGTCATGCATTCTTTTATACTTCAGTTATTATCCAGTGGAATGTCCTTACCTACTGGCCTAGTTAAATCAAAGTGGTTATTTCTTTTTGTCTGGGCAGTGGGCAGTGTAGTTTTACACACCGTCTTATTTGACTTTCTCAGGACTTAAAACTGTTTTTGGGGGCAGACCCCACAAAGAAAAAAATATATTTACACACGTAAGGTCATCATCTTAACAGTTTTGTATGCTCATCCGTGAGCAGAGCATCAAGTTGACATGTCTATTACAGCTGAATGCGGCGATTACCATTTTGTTCAGCAAAACGCCTCACAAACTGATTAAGATCAACAGCTTTAGTGCGTTTTGATTCAATGCAGAGTACAGCCAAACTTGACAGTCTCTTCTCTGTCATTGTAGACCGCAAATACCTCATTCCTTCAGTACTTGGGTCCGAATGCTTCTCGTTTTGCGCCGTACCGTTCAAATGAAATCGCCGCCAATCATATTTCCACGCTCGCGCCAGGGCCGGGGGAGTGGTTACAAGACGTGCGTCTTGTGCTGCATTCACTTGCACTCGGACATTAGAGACTTTCTCTCATAAATGTCCGATGAGCCACAACTTTTCTTTCAAAACAAAGCTGCCAACTGGGGTGGCAGCTGGGGTGGCAAGGCCTATTTTTAGGGTGGCAGTTGCCACCCCATGCCACCCCGGTAGGTGAAACTAGGCTACTAGCTACAGTACAGATGCAACTAGATGAGCTGTTAACTCTCGCTCTGACTTCTTTTTTTTTAAACACACACGCATTTTTCCCACCCGCATTCCGCAAAGACCCGCCCTACTGTGCCTCTGATTCGCAGACTGTTGGTGGGGGGAAAAAACACTGACGGGATGCTGAATGTGATTGGACCAATGCGTTGACAGACACACACAGACAGTGGAACAGTCGTACATGCAGAGCGCTGTTTGCAGTGGACATAGCGGAGAATTTTGACTCGTTGCGTTGTGGCGATGTCTCACAGATAACACAGATAATACAGATAATACATATTAAAAGTATAATTTGCTCAGAGTCCAGAGAGAGTTGTGGTTCGGTCCGGATCCGGACCGGAGTCCGGACTTTGAGGATGCCTGCAGTAGTGTATAAGCAGTCAGTAGTATGTAAGCAGTCAGTAGTAT